GAAGTGAGGGCCAAGATAAAATCCCAAAGGAAGCCACTGAGGGGACACCCGAAGCCTGTGGGGGAAACAGCAGGGCCTGCTGGGGATGGGGGCACCAACCACATTCAGACTAGACATACACGCACCAGATGGAAGCTGGACCAGAGATTAGGGAGAGTATACTTTGCCTCAAAATGGAGATAAAACTTAAAAATAAATCTGGAGCCTTAAGAAGGGCAGCATCAAGGACAACAGCCAGCTCAATGTAACTCTTCCTTTTTTTTTTTTTAAATATAATTTTTTATTTGTTACAATTTATTCATTTTGTATCCCAGCCGTAGCTCTACCTTCATCCCCTCCCAATCCCGCCCTCCCTCCCTCATCTTTTCCCATGCCTCTTCTCCAGTCTACTGATAGTGGAGGACCTCCTCCCCTTCCATCTGTCCCTAGCCTATCAGGTCTCATCAGGACTGTCTTCCTCTGTGACCTGGTCAGGCTGCTCTCCTTATTAGGGAGTGCATTTGGAGACCGAGCTGCCATGGGCTACCTCTGTGCAGAGTCCAGGTTATCTCCACAAATGGTTCTTGGTTGGAGTATCAGTCTCAGAAAAGACCCCTTTGCCCAGATGTTTTGGTTCTGTTGCTCTCCTGGTGGAGCTCCAGACCCTTCCAGGTCTTTCTGTCTCCCCCTTCTTTCATAAGATTCCCTGCACTCTGCCCAAGGTTTGGCTGTGAGTCTCAGTATTTGCTTTAATACCCTGCTGGGTAGAGTCTTGCAGAGGCCCTCTGTGGTAGGCTTCTGTCTTGTTCCTTATTTTCACCTTCTGATCTCTATCCCATTTGCGTTTCTGAATGAAGATTGAGCATCTCACCCAGGGTCCTCCTTCTTGCTTAGCTTCTTTAGGTGTACAGATTTTAGTATGAGTATCTATAGTATATGTCTAATATCCACTTATAAGTGAGTATATACCATGTGTGTCTTTCTGCTTCTGGGATAGTTCACTCAGGATGATCTTTTCTAGTTCCCACCATTTGCCTGCAAATTTCATTGTTTTTAATTGCTGAGTAGTATTCCATTGTGTAAATGTACCACAATTTCTGTATCCATTCCTCAATTGAGGGACATCTGGGTTGTTTCCAGATTCTGGCTATTATGAATAAAGCTGCTATGAACATGGATGGTTGAGCAAATGTCCTTGTATGGAATAACAAGAAACCCAGAATTGCTAAAACAATCCTCTACAATAAAAGATCTTCCGGAGGGATCTCCAGTCCTAATCTCAAGCTGTACTATAGAGCAACAGTAATAAAAAACTGCATGGTACTGGCATAGAAACAGAATGGTGCATCAATGGAGTCGAATAGAAGACCCAGAAATAAACCCACACACGTATGAACACCTGACCTTTGACAAAGATGCCAAAACTATACAATGGGAAAAAGACAGCATCTTCAATAAATGGTGCTGGTCTAATTGGATGTCTACATGTAGAAAAATGCGATAGATCCATACTTATCACCCTGCACAAAACTAAACTCTAAGTGGATCAAAGACCTCAACATAAAATCAGACACACTAAACCTGTTAGAAGAAAAAGTGGGGAAGAACCTTAAACTCATTGGCACAGGAGACAACTTCCTGAACAGAACACCAACAGCACAGGCTCTAAGAGCAACAATCAATAAATGGGATCTCATGAAACTGAAAAGCTTCTGTAAAGCAAAGGACACCATCATCAGAACAAAATGACAGCCTACGGATTGGGAAAGGATCTTCACCAACCCTATATCTGACAGAGGGCTAATATCCAGAATATATAAAGAACTCAGGAAGTTAAAAAGCAACAAATCAAGTAATTCAATTAAAAAATGGTATATGAAGCTAAACAGAGAATTCTCAATAGAGGAATATTAAATGGCAGAGAAACACTTAAAGAAATACTCAACATCCTTAGTCATCAGGAAAATGCAAATCAAAACGACCCTGATATTTCACCTTACACCCATCAGAATGGCTAAGATTAAAAAAAACTCAAGTGACAACACATGCTGGAGAGGTTGTGGAGAAAGGGGAACCCTCCTCCATTGCTGGTGGGAATGTAAACTTGTACAACCACTTTGGAAATCAATCTGGTGCTTTCTCAGACAATTAGGAATAGCGCTACCTCAAGATCCAGCATATATCCGAGGCATATATCCAAAAGAGGCTCAAGTTAACTCTTCTTTTTTGCTCTGAGTGGGCTTCCAAGCAGAGGCAGCCCCATTAGTGTGCTTAGGATGTCTGGGCTTGACCCAAAAGGAAAGCAATGATTCCTTACTCTTTTTTGGCCAACAGTTGCCAATCTATCAGAGGCAGGGGGTAGAACCTGCCTGTCTGTGGGAATATTTGGGCAGGTGCTTCAGATGGGTCATTTCCAGATCTGTAACAAGAACTTTAATGGCAATGGCTATGGGAACAGTGGAGTGAGGTGCCTCAAGGGGTTCTCGAGGTAAGGAAACTGCCACACATCTGGCAGAGCTGTAACAGGGTGTGGGGGCGCCAGGAAAGTGTCTTCTTTGGGCTGAGACCAGAAGGCATTACCTTCAGAAGCTTTTTCTGCTATAGCAGTCTGTTCAGATCCTCTCTGGTGGACTCAGGTTTGTGATAAGGTGGAGTTTTTGCCCAGCTGCTGAGGGTTCTCAATAGCAGAAGCTGGTGGGAGCACTTATCTGAAACCACAGAGCAGAAGCCTAAAGTTAGCAGAGCTGAGGTCAGCCTTATCATGGGGCACCAGAAACACCCTGAAAGCCAAGGTTAGCAGTGGGGAAAGTAAGGAAAGGGCCTGTCTGGAAAGTGGCTAGGATGGAGGTCATCACCAGCCTCTTCACCTTTCCTTGAAGCAAAAGGAAAGTGCTGGGGATGGCTGGCTAGAATTTAAGGACTCAGCTAGTGGCCTGCAGGGTTGTTTTTGTTTATTTGTTTATTTTTTAAAGTTCTGTTACATTTGAATGCAATTCAGGAGGTTCAATAACATTCTTGTAAGTGACTGTGTGTGTGTGTGTGTGTGTGTGTGTAATTGGCCACCTTATTTTTTGAGACAGGTTTTGTCACTGACTTGGAACTCACCACCTGACTTAGTTTGCTGGCTTGTGAGCTCCAGGGACCTGCCCGTGTGTACTTCTGCAGTGCTGGAGTACAGATGAGCTGCTAGGTGTAGTGTTTGTTGTTTGTTCTGAGGATTTGATGTGTGCTTTGCATGTTTATGTATGTTCTGAGGATTGAACTCAGGTTGTCACGATGGCAAGGTGTGCGCTTTTCTGACTGAGCCGTTCTCTCTAATCCACAGAAATGACTTTCCACATATATGTTTATGTTTGTGAAAACTCACCAGTTTCAAGAAAATCATTTTGCATTTCTGTTTACTACTGAAAAATAGTAGCGGAGCACGTAATATTTAATATTTAGAAATGAAAGACAATTATTAAGGGGAAATTTTTTTTAAATAAAAATTTTTAAATTAAAAAATGGAAGAATCCCTGGATAGACCAGCTATTTTCTGCTCCTGGACCAGATACTCTAAAGCAGTCGTGACCCAGGTAATGTGTCATGTCTTTAACAGAGGCAACAGTTAAGGTCCCCATTGTGTTGTTTTACAGAAACTGAGACACTCCTCCTAACCCTTGTGTGTACAAAAGCAGTTAAGCACATTAAAGATTTTTTGAATAGAATTAAGCCAATGTTATTGTGAATCACTGTGTTAGTATTTTATGGTGTAAAAGACATATAAATTATGACTACTGGTTTCAAAGCCAAACAGATCAAAACACAATAGAGGTCCTAAGAGTGAGCTACCCAAATGTGGATGCTGGGATCCAAACTGAGATTCTCTGGAAGGGCATCAGGGGCTGTTGGCCGTTGGGCCACCTCCTGGCCCCTTAGTAACTTTGTTTTTCAGTGTGTAGTGGTTTCTGAACAGGTACCTCCACTCCTATGCCAGTTTTTTTCTTTCACAGATTTGGGCAAAAGAAGTTACAGCTGTTAAGGTCAGATACTTTGTATAGAGGTGTGTAATTCATAAAGAATGTATGAGCCCCCCCCCCCCATTCTGCTGTTTGGCAAATATATCACTGTTGTTGTTGTTGTTGTTGTTATTATTATTATTATTAGTGGGGTTTGTTGTTGTTGTTTTGAGACAGGCTGTGGCCTGGTGTCCTGTGGCCCTGGTGTCCTGAAACTGGCTATGTAGACCAGGCTGGCTTCAAACTCTCCCCTCTATGCCTCTCAAGAGCTGGATTTAAAAATGTGCTACACACCCTACTTTTTTTTTTTTTTAAACTGGGAGGCAGAGGCATGCAGATCACTTTGAGTTTGAGACCAGCCTCAACCGTCTCAGCAAGTTCCAGGCTGCTGATGCTATGTAGTGAATTTTTTTATTATTGTTGTTTGTTTGTTCCTTTTTGTTTTGTTTGTTTAAAGTATATATTTGTGTATGTGCAATCAAACTGAGGTCCTCAGGTTTGTTGGCAAACCCTTTACCCTTTGTGCTATCTTGGCTGGGGCAGTTTTTCTTTTAAAACTGTGATCTTTCTGTAACAACCAGTGTTAATTACCAAAGGATACAGCATTGATCTTTGCCGAGTGAAAGTTTAATGGACTGTTTCTTTTTAATCTACCTCACACATGCTGAGCAGGTGCTCCACCACTGAAATCAACTCTTTTGAAGTTCAGTCTTTTAGGCTAGTGTACGAAGTAATGGATTTCATCATGGCGTTTTCGTACATCCATGCCACCCCACTTAGGTCTTATTTGTTCCCCTCTCCCAGTGCTCTTCCCAGCTCCCTGGCATCCTCTTGGTATTCCATTTCTTCTCCCCAATAGTTCCACCTTCTGCATCCTTTTTTACTCCCCCTTAGCTTAGAGCTCAAGATGCCTTCTTCCCCTCCCCTACTCCTCTTTCTACATCCGTGTCATGTGTATATGGCTGCCTTTTTTCGTACACCTTCTGTGAAATGCAGACACTGACGGTTCCTCCTTCCTTCCAGGTACCTCTGCAAATACTCTCACGAAGTTCTCTCGGAACAGAACTTCCAGGTCCTAAAGAACCATGAGCTCTCTGGGCTTAACCAAGAGGAGCTGGCGGTTCTCCTGGTTCAGAACGACCCTTTCTTCATGCCCGAGGTAGGTCCTCATTCTCACTTTCTTCTTTTTTCTTTTTTGGTTTTTGATTTTTTAAGAAAAGGTTTCTCTTTGTAACAACCCTGGCAACACCACTTTAAACACCAGGCAAGAGTATTGTGAGCAAGCCAGGTGTGGTGGCACACTCTAATCCCAGCACTTGTGGGAGGCGGAGGCAGGCAGATCTATGTGAGTTTGAGGCAAGCCCTGTCTAGGTAGCAAGTTCCAGGCCAGCCAAGGCTACCTGGTGAGACCCTGTCTTAACAAATAAGAGAAGGAATTTGGGTTCACATGCTTCCTCCACTAGGCTGCCAGGGATTCCACTGTGAACAAGGCTGAGTTGAAGAGACATAGTTGTAATTGGACCAGTTGATGCTTTACATCAGGGAAGGCTTTGCATTGTAGCTGGAAAGATGCAGGTACAGGTTGTGTTGCTGTCCAAGAGAATCTTACCCTACATTCAGTGATTAAGAACATACATCTTAAGTCTTTTTACTCCCCATAGCCTCGTCAAAGGTCAGCAGGTTACAGCCCAGAGGCCAAACCTGGGCTGCCAGCAGTTTAGAAATAAAAGTCTAGTGGCCCACAGCTGTGCTGATGTGTTTACAGCGCTTCCATTGCTGCTTTCTCCCTTCAGGGGTCAGTTGAGTTGCCACAGAGACTAACTGGCCGGAAGAGCTTAAAATGCTTACTGTGAGCTGTTAAAGAAGTGTGCTGCCTCTAGGCCCTGCCCGGGTACGGGCAGCTATGCCATGTGGTCGGGTAGAGGGTCCTACCCTGTCTTCCAGGGACTCGGCTAGGAAGTTAGCTCTGCTGTCTTTAGAATGTGGCTTCTATCTCTTAGTGCGGGGATTTCTCAATTACCCCCACCTTGAAGTCAGTGGGATTGTTGGTGGGAAATTGAAGGCAAGCAGTTTACATTTTAGGAAACTGGACGTAGTGTGTAGCACATCTCCTCACAGCTCACTGACAGTGCCTGTCACATGGTCATATTTGCTGAAAGGGAGGCTGAGAAATGTAGTTCCTGGATGAATGGCTGACTGTCAAGACCTTCTATTACTAGAGGAAAGGTGGACAGGATGGTAGATGGTGAAGTCTCCTGCCTAGAGAGTGGAGGATCAGTTGATGCTGCTCAAAGCACCATGTCTGAGGAAACCTCTGGATTGGAGAATCCTTGGTACTGGTACAAAGCCAGTACCAGCCTGAGACCGAAAGGGAGGCAGAGAAACAGAAGAGGCAGTAAAAGAGATGAGAAGCTGCAGGGAAGGTTGGAGTTCAGACTTTTCTGTTAGATAAGACAAGATAGCTGATAGAGATTTCTGGAGGATTCAGCTACTTGGAGGGATTTAAAAGCTTGGCACACGGGTGATTTTTTTTTTTAAGCCTCCACTGAGCTCCAGGAGCCCTGAATGTAGTACATTGTGTAAGAGTATGTTGACGGGGAAAGGGTGTAATCTCCCTTTTTATAGCTCCAAGCATTCTGTGGGTGCCTAGAGTACTCGGCTCTATTTTTCTCCTTTCTCCCTCCTCTCTCCCTTTCTGTCCCCTCTCTGCCCTAGAGTGGGACATTCTCAGGCCCTTTAGCATCGCTCAAAATCCTCTACCTGCCTGTGTGACCTTGGACAAAGCTTCAAACCCTTATGGGCATCGTTGCACCTGTCCTGTGGTTTGTTTTGTGAAGATTTAGAAGGGCCCGGATGCATCAGTTACTTTGTCAAATACTGAATAAAGCAGTAGACAAGACATACTCCCCTGTCCTAAAAAATAATAATAATTTTTGGGGACAGTGAGATAGTTCAGTGGGTAAGGGAATTTGTCTCCAGGCCTGTTCAGGCCCTGTTACCTGCTTGATAGAAGGACGGAACTGATTCCCCCAAGTTGCCCTCTTTGTAGCTCAAATGTTCTGTAACTCACACAGGTATCTAGCCTAGGCTAGTCTTGAACTCCTGATTCTCCTGACTTACTGCTAGGTGCTAGGATTATAGCCAATGTACCACATAACCCTCTTCTCTTGGATATGTAATTTTTTTTTTTTTTTGAGACGGGGTCTCTCTATGCAGTTTGAACTCACAGATCCACCTTTCTCTACCTCCCTAGTGCTGGGATTGAAATTGTGTACCACCTCACCCAGTCTTTGTTTTGTTTTATTAGAGACAAGATCACCCTATAGCCTAGGCTGGCTTCAGACAAACCTGCTCTCTCTAGCTCTTGAGGGCTCATATTATAGACATGAACTGCTATGCTTGTTGAACATACTACTGGGACTTGAACCCAGGGCCTCAAGTATAATAGGCAGTTGGTAGAGTTACCAACTGAGCTACAGCCCAGCTTCTGGATTTGCATTTCTAGTATGTGTCCAGGTGCTGCTTATGGTCCAGATGCCACACTTGGAGCTGTGGTCTAGAATCAGATTCTGTAGCATTTCTATGCACTGGCATCCAGTTTGGGGGCCTACTGATGTGGCTCCATCGCTGTTCCTAGGGTCCGCCTTTGTCTCTGCATGCAGGCTCATCCCAGGGAGCCAGACAAACCCAGTTTGTACAGCCTATTAAACCAAACATTCTCATCTTTCAGATGCCTGTGAATCCAGAGTTATCACTAATCATCTAATGGCTCAAATCCTCATCCTCCTTATTTTGTACAATTCAGTCTTATGTCTTGTTACTTACTGAGCTTTCCAGTGATTTTTAGGTAGGCAGATGAGACAAATAATTACCTTCTTCTGTTGAAAAGGAAACAGAAACTGGAAGGTTATTAGGATGGGTGAAGTTACCCAGCTGCTTCTCAGGCCTTGGCCTTTTGACCAGCCTCCCTAGCCTGCAGCCGGGTGGCCTCATCTCAGCCTCAGCATCCCTGTCTTACTCCATCTCTGTAGAGCTATGTGTGCAGATGTGTTTACTTAAATCATCGGTTCTCAACCTTCCTCATGCTGCAACCCTTTAATATAGTTCCTCACTTTGTGGTGACCCCCACCCCATAAATCATTTCATTGCTACTTTGTAACTAATTTTTCTAATGTTGTAAATCATCCTGATATGGGGGATGTTTACTATTCAACCCCCAAAGGGCCTGTGACAGGTTGAGACCTGCTGGCTTAGATAGCATGTAAGAATTTCCTTACTGAGCTGAACATAGTGGTGCATGCCTGTAATCCCAACACTTGGAAGGTCAGGGAAGGAGGATTGTGACTTGAGATCTAGCCTGTGCTACATAATAAATTGTCTGAAAAAACTGAACACAAGGCTGAGCGAAGTGCTTCTGTGCCTAATCCCAGCTAACAAACAACAAAATGGGAGGCAGAGGCAGGTGAACCTTTTAAGAGTTGGAGGCCTGTGTGTGTCGAAAATTCCTGGCCAACCAGGGCTGTACAGAGAGACCCTGTCTCCATCTTTTCTATCTGTCTGCCTGTCTGATCTCTCTCTTCTTCCCCATTCCCCTCCTCCTCCTTTCTTCCTCCCACTCCCCACACATACAAATCACTTGGAAAGGTTAGGACCTTTCTGGCTATCAGAGACCAAATGACAAAAGTCCCAAAGTCACACATAAGACACACATGTCCTTTCAACTGTAGAGTAAGTTAGGATCCAAACTAGACTTCCTCTTTGGGACTCCCTTTATGAAGTCCTGTGCATAGCTTGCTATTTCAGTTTTGATTCTTCCAGGAATTAGCAAATTCACACTACTTTCTTCCCCTACCTTTCTTTCCTTTTTTTGTTTTTGTTTTGTTTGTTTGTTTTTCAAGACAGGGTTTCTCTGTGTAGCCTTGGCTGTCCTGGACTCACTTTGTAGACCAGGCTGGCCTGGAACTCACAGAGATCCTCCTGCCTCTGCCTCTGCCTCTGCCTCTGCCTCTGCCTCCCGAAATGCTGGGATTACAGGCGTGTGTCACCAGGCTCAGGTTTCTTCGCTATTAAATACCAGGTATGGCATTGAATTCGTGATCCTCCCCGCCCCGGCCTCCTGAGCGCTGGGTTACAGGCATCCGCCTCCATGAACTGTATCATCAGTTAGCTAGTCTTCAGGCGCTTCTATCTCCAAATAAATCACCAGTTGAGTCTTATCTCATCAAAGACTGTGGGCTGTGCCTTGTTTTTTCTTGGTACACCTCTGCTTTTTATGGGAAAGGAGCTTGCTCATTCCCTGACATGCGTGGACAGATACCAGATACTCTTGCCTCACTGTTCTTTATCCCTTCTGTAGATATGCAAAAGTTACAAAGGAGAGGGCCGGAAACAGATCTGCGGGCAGCCACAGCCGTGTGAGAGGCTCCACATCTGTGAACACTTCACCCGGGGCAACTGCAGCTATGCCAACTGCCTTAGGTCTCACAACCTGATGGACAGAAAGGTGCTGGTCATCATGAGGGAGCACGGGCTGAGTCCCGACGTGGTCCAGAACATCCAGGACATCTGCAATAACAAGCACATGAGGAGGAACCCCTCCGGCATGAGAGGTCTGCCCGTTTCCTTTTTAACTGTGTGAATGCTCAGAGAAACTGAAAGTACACCTTTAATCCTAGCACTCAGGAGGCACAAGCAGGCGGATCTCCTTGGGGTTGAGGCTCTACAGAGTGAGTTCCAGGATGGCCAGGGCTGTTAGACAGAGAGACCCTGTGTCAAAAAAAAAAAAAAAAAAGGGGGGGAGGGGGGAGGGGGAATCTACCTTTAAAATCTCAGCTTCACCACACAGCACTTTAATACAATCAAAATAATGATTTGTATGTAGTGTTATAAGTAGCTATGTTCCCTGATTTGAAAAAGTTTGTTATAGGCACCTTTAATCCCAACTCGGCTCAGAGTTTGAGGCCAGCCTGTTCTACAGAGTGAGACCAGGACAGCCAGCACTGTCTGGACAGAAAGCCTGTCCCAACACACACACACACACACATACACACACATACATATTATTTGTTTGAGGGTCACAGGGCATGCATCCATTAATTCCAGCACTTTGGAGGCAGAGGCCAGCCTGGTCTACATAAAGAGACCATGTCTCCAAAACAAAAACAAAAAAACAAAAACTGTTTAACAAAATGTTTATTTTTTTTAAATCTTTTTAAAAATGTGATCAAACATTTTGGAGATTCAGAAGTTATTAACTGTGTTCCAGTTGTTTATTTGTCTTTCTCCTTGTTTATATACAAACGTTTACACATGTATTCAACTTCTAATTACATTAACTTATCTCATGTGGAGGTCAGAGGCAATTTTCAGGAGCCAGTTCTTCCTTCTTAGAGGTCCTGGGGAATAAACTCAGGTTGGTAACAGAGCCATCTTACTGCCCACACATGCTTTTATTTGTTTGTTTGTTTACTAATTTTGAGACAGAGTTGCATTGTGTGGTAGTAGCTGAACAGGGCCTCACTATATAGACCAGGCTGGCCTTGAACTCACAGAGATCAGCTTGCCCCTGTCTCCTGAGTGCACTGCCATGCTCAGCTCACATGCATTCTGTGGTTAAAATATCTGATGTGTGGGTAGATGCATTGTGCTATTTTACAGAAGTCTAGCAACACATTATCCAAAACTGTTCTCATATATAACAAAAATATATATTTTTAGGTTTATTTTCTTATCTTAAAAATTGGCTGTATGTGTGTGGGAGTTGGTCTGTGCATGTGCGTTTGAATGCAGATGCCTGCAGAAGCCAGAGGCACCAGCTCTCCGGAGCCTGAGTTATAGGCAGCTGTGAACAGCCCAGTGCGGCTTTGTAATAGCAGTAAACACTCTTAAGCAATGGCCCACCTCCTCAGCCCCTTTCTTTTTGAGATTGCAGAGTATCCCACGCTGCCTGTGTATATACATCCCATACATTCGCCTCACTGCGCTCACTCAGTCATTTCCTGATGGACAGTTGGTTTGTTTCTAGGTGCAGCTGCTGTGGAATAGTGCCACTGTGAGTGTGGGTACTCAACTATTTCCTTGAGACTCTGCTTCCTGTTCTTTCAGGAGTATAACAGGAAGCCCAGTTTCTGGTCACTTTCTAAATGTGTTGAGTGTTTTTGAAGAGCTGCCATGCTGTTTTCCATAACAGCTCTCCATTTTCTATTTCCTCCTGCAGCACATAGTTCAAATTCCTGCACTCTTTCCAGGGCTTGTCGTTTTAATGAAACAACTGTCCCAAAGTATAAGAAATGGTACCATTTCTTAAGTATTTTCATATAACATACCATGCTACTCCATACCATACAAAAGTATGAAAACTTTTGTCTTTTAATTTAATTTCAGTTATATTATTGACTTAGTTAGGGTTGTATTGCTGTGATGAAACACCATGACCAAAGCAACCTGGGGAGGAAAGGGTTTATTTGGCTTACACTTGCACACAGCACTGTCCATCATCAAAGGAAGTCAGGACAGGAACTCAGACACGGCAAGAACCTGGAAGCAGGAGCTGATGCCATGGAGAAGTGCTGCTTACTGGCTTGTTCAGCCTGCTTTTTTTTTTTTTTCTCCTTCCTTCCTTCCTTCCTTCCTTCCTTCCTTCCTTCCTTCCTTCCTTCCTTC